TGGCTACAGATTTTACTTCAGGAAACCAGAAAATCCAAACCCTGAATCAACCACAAAGTTTTTGCCAGCACTGAAAGCTCAAAATCCTACAGGTCTGCCAGGAGTACAGAAGCATGCGCTGCCCTCCACCCTGTGCATATTTGTTGGCACAGATCTGGGAGCTGGCACATCTGGGAGCCCCATTGAAGAAGCAGAGGGCATACATCATCATCATCATCATCATCATCATCATCCTAAGAAAATGAAAGACCAGCCTAGGCACTGATGTTGGTTGGACAAGCCTTCTGGATGACTGGGAGCTCTGGCTACTCATAGAGTAGAGTATGCTATAACATACTATACAAATATGCTTGAATAGTATCCAGGCTACTTGTATCAAGTTACGAAAGCTGTACAAAACGGAGCAAGTGACAGGTTTTTTTGCTCCTGCAACTCATACTTTTCAACTCATAGATGCTGAGTTGAGGTACAGTGTAATGCCTACCAGATGCTGGGATGTTGGGATTTGGGTCCTCCTGACTCTGGATTACTTCCCTGTAGGAACGAAAGTTATCCCACTATGGCCCACACCATTACATGTGAACTGTCATGGCAAAATCTGTTTAAGCCCAGATGTTTGCTCAGTCATAAACTGCTTATTAAGACAAAACTTTAGTTGTTGGCAGAGAGTAACTGAATTGCCTAATCTAATCAGATGTGGCAATGATAAATACAATAACTAGACCTGAGGCACAAAAATATTACTTAGGCACAGAAAGTCTAACTCAATGCAGTGGAAATCTGTTCTAACATTAATATGGGGTAGGAAAAAAATCCAGTGTTTGGACACAACAACTGCAATCTCAGATGTATGCAGTACTCTGACACCAAGTAACAAATAGGAGCATTGCTTACAAAATGGTCTTTACTGCATTTTTGTTACACAATGAAGCATTTGTACAGTAACTAACACTTTTGCTACTATCAGAAAAAGCTTTTTACAGAGCTTGCTTGAATATGCTGAAGCTCTTTTTTTTTTTCCCTCTTACTCCTCTACACTGATTTAAAAGCAACCCTTGGTAGGGCACTGGTGGATGTACTGGATGGTCCCTTTTGTTACAGTGGTATATCCCAGCTGCGTCTTCCAATAACAACAAAATTCAATTATAAAGGTTTCCTCTCTGTTACATTGACACCAAAATTCTTGGCACCAGCAAGACAATTAGCCCCTAAATGTTTGTATGATCTTTCTATCAGTCACAAGATGACAAAGGCTATTTCAAATACCCCAGAATCTGGGAATACATTTGCTTCCCTTAGACAGAAAGGACAGAAGGGCACTCAGTACAGACTCTGTGAGCCTTATCAATGTCGCATTTATCTGTTTTCTTCCTGAAACTTTTACCTCAGGTAATGATAAATTAGGTTTTAAAATTACAGGTGCCAATATTTTTCAGGTTCAGTTGTGTCTTTTCTCCCCCCAACTCAGTGAGACACTAACTTTTAGCTGATTTATTTGTAATACCAGCAACTTATTACTTTGCTGTTCTGTGACAGGGGTTTATGATTTGTTACAAAGATAAATAAACCAACTCCATCCAAGGTACTCTAGTGGTAATAGTAGTCACCGTTCAGTATTTTGCAGGTGGTCAAAAAGAGTCATATTATTTTGACAGGGAATTTACAGTAATTTTACCAGAAAGTTAAAGCAAATGTTAATATTTAATTTGGATCATTCATGCACTAATATGAAAGGACATTAATTCTTGTAAAAATACATATACGAATAAACAGAAACTCATGACATACAAGCCAAGAGTGTAAATAAGGTATTGATGTCCTTCGGTGGAGTTTCATTGTCACAGGGGAAATCCTCATCCTACAGACACACTTCACAGTGTAACTAGAACCAGTCACCACTAGGCATAAAATGAAATGTCATTCATATTACATGGCACTCCAGAAAAATATGTACCAAATTTACCAATTTCTCAAACCTTTTTATCACTAATGCCAGAGAAAAAGAAAAATGGATAGCATGTATACATCCTGTATGTATAGGAATATTGTTATGCATACATATCAGGAGTAGGTTAAACCTTTTTCCTTCAAACCAGTTATACTGTAATTTAATTACTGCAACAAGTTGTGGGAAACCAGTACACTGCAAGCCTTGTCCAACAAGTTAAGAAAAAGTCACATTTTCGATTTCCAAGAGGAAGGGTGGTGACCTATAAAGTCGTAAAGGAAACCACTCACAGGGTCATTTCAATACCCTTACTAAAAACAGCCCCCTGGAATTATAAGCCTCTTCCTCATCCTGCTCAGAACAATTGGAAAATTATAGATAATTTAAAATACGTTAACTTAATATACTAAAAAACAAAATTAATGGAGACAAAAAAATTAAAATTCTCACTCGTGGAATTGCACTGCTAACTTCTCAGATTTCTCTAGTAGTGGCGTTAGGATTTAGCTAGTGGAAAACTGCCCCAGATTACATAACAGGTATATTTAAAATGCGGTGCAGATCCTGAGTGGTCTTTCTCTCCCAAAGACTCTACTTTTTAGTTTATCCTAAAGTCATCAGGGACAGGCTTAACTTAAGCCAAACACTGATTGCTAGAAGCTTTAGGTGAACAACGTCAGACTGGATTTGATATAAGCTAGTGATTTTTCTTTTTTTCCTATATGATCAGATCAAATCTAAAATAAATGCTACATAAATATTTTTTAAAATAGAGGACAATGAAAAAATCAGGTTTATGTTGTCTACTGTGATTTCTTCTACAATATATTCATCACAAAGTTTTATGCAATAAATGTAGCACTACATTCCTTCTTAGCCCATGATGCAATTAAGGGCACTGAACCCAGCAAGGTAGAGCATGTTGTTAGCTGCACTTCAACAGGTGTGGAGGGCATAGAAACAAGGGAGGGGAAAGTTTTTATAAAAAAACCCCCACATTGTGTCACACAGCAGAACAGCAAACACTGCACCAGCAGACACTATATAGCTACTTCCCCCCCCCCCCCGCACTTCATCTCATCTCTGAGTAAACAAACAGCTGTGAACACTTGAAATACAATATAATGTGTGCCTTAACCTACCCATGACAAAGAAGCAGGACTTTTAAAATCTTCCCAATCACTCTCTTCACAATGTCTGGCTTTGTCCTCTGTGTTTCAAGACACTGATTTTTCATCAATGCACTTGTAGTGCCTGGCCAGGTGATGGGGAGCGGTGTGCATGGAACAAGGTCATTGGGCAAAAAGCTCTGCAGATATGCAGATACACAGTTACACGAAGGCTCCTTCCAGATGGGATCAGCGCAAATTTGACACGATGGTATTAGCCACAAAATTCTGCACTCTCAATCCAGGTGAGAGAGGAGGATTCATTTCCAGCTTCTTCTAGTGATTCTTTCTCTGGCGTCTTATTTCAGCTTTGCAAAGGGTCCAGGAATTTAGATTAATGAAACTAATTTACTAAGAAACTGACTGGTCATGGATCTCTTTCTCTTATTCCTCAAGTTTCTTTTGTCTTTAACACAGAAAATGAACTCACAGGTCCTAAAGCTCAGTGAAAACAGGCCTCATCTTAGTGACAGAAAACACAATTATTTAAATTGCTTTTGGGATATTTTAACACTGGAAGTGTGAAAGTTAATGCCTGAAGCAACATAAACCTGAGGTAAACGTCACATGCCTCAGAAGTAACTCCACTATCTTTTGTCCACAGTGAACTGGGGAAGAGGTGAAATTGGGAGAGAGTTAAATTTATCCATAGAAATATAAGATTCTTCAAGTAATTTTTAAAAGCATCTATTAAAGATAGAACAGCACAGCTCCAAACCCACATAAAAAAAGAGTCAATATCTGGCAATCCAGAGCATACTGTTTAAAAAAAACTACAGCAGAGCACTGCCCTACCAGATAGAATTTGCAAACTTACCTACAGGTAAGGGTTAGGGTTACAAGCCTGGGACAAGTCCTTACACTCCTAACACCTTCCTCTGAACTCACATACTGTTTGGTCCTATGTGGTTGCCACAAAAATGCTGTTTACTCATTGCAGCAGTTACCGAACTTCTGCACTTTTCTCACTGGTTCATAGTTCAAAGGTGGATGTCTCTGACAAACTGCTGCCCCGGCCTCGCAGCGTGCACCACACCAGAGCTCCCTGCCGTCACAGCGGCTGATTGTCTGGCTTTGGTAGATGCTGTTAATCCTACCACGGTGTTCTACAGATGACACTGACCTCGCTGATGGGAATGCACAGAGTTCACCAGCACTACCGTTAGTTGCAGATTGCCATTTGGCACTCAATTTGCACATTACCTTACCATAAGTTCCTCCCTTCCTCTGGACTTATGATCTAGTTTTGCAGGAGCCTTCCATCACTCCCGTCTAAGAGCTGGCTCAGCGACCGGCGGCACCCGTGGCCGGCCGGCACCGCTCGCCCCGCTGGACCGGGGCAGCACACGCCGGGAAGGGCTGTGCCACCCTGCGGGTCACAGGCAGGGGACACGCGGTTCCGTTTCTGGCACTGGCAGCGACAAGTTACTTATCTAAGCACACCCCGAGTCGTTCCGGGCCACTCACTGCCCTTGCCCTGGCTCGCTCTCCCCGCAAAGGGTGGCGCGGACGGGTGTCCCCCGGGCCCGCCGCTCCCCGAATGTCCCCCCGGGTACCTTTCTGAGGGCCGCCCGCAGGTCGCGGTGCTGCGGGGTGTCACCGCCGTCCCCTGGCCCCGAGCTGCGGCCACGCAGGGCCGAGCCCAAGCGCGCCCAGCGCCCGCCGCCCCGCAGAGCCATGGCCGCCGCGCCCGGTCCCGCTCCAAAGGCAAGGCCGAGGGCCGCCAAAGCCTGTCCCGCTCCAAGAGCCAAGGGCGAGGGCAGCCGCCGTGCCCGACCAGCTGCCTGGGTCGCCTCGGCAGCCCCTGCCCCGCCCCGCGCCGTCCCGTCCCCTCCCTCCTCCCGCTCCTCTCTTTCCCGCAGCAAGCCACGGTAGCTCTCTGGTTACGGGTAGGTTTTCTTTAATGCCAACGAACAGCCATGAAGCGACCGACAAGCGGGTGGCGAAAGGGCCCCGCGCAGCGACAGGAGCCGGCCCCGCCAGGGAGCAGGGCACAGCCGGCCCTGCCGAGCGGCCTGCGCGGGTCTCGGCAGCTTTCGGGTGGGTTTCTGTATTTTTGTAAGGAGAAATAGAAAATAACAAGAAATCCGCTCCTGTGCTCGTTCAACACGGACCGGTGGCGGTAGGGACACGCTAGTGACTCCGTAGGGGTATAGGAGCAATGTCTGCTCCGGGGGCAGGCGCGGGGGCCATTCTTCTAAGCGATGACACAGCCTCCCTTCTCCTTGAAGGGATTCTTGTCCTCGGGAACCCCCTTCACCAGCGGGTCCTCGCCCGACCGCTCCTCGATGTAGTTCTTGATCTCTTCGGAGCACTTGGACACCTCGAGGGAAAGGACAGAGAAGAAGCTGCGTTATGACCGGAGCTAATGAACATCAGAGGAGGAAACCCGTGAATTCACATCCTTCTTTCTCATTTACCTTCCCGCCAAGCATAAAACATCTGACCACAGAGCAAACACTAAGCACATGCAGACTCAGCTTCTTTCCTCTTTTTTCACAGCCTGATATTCACAGAACATGTGAGTATCTCTGGGAATGTATATGCCACTTGTAACAGCAGCTGCTGCGTACTTAAACTTGCAGTCTTCTTAGCCAACATAGTTTTATTAAGCTGTGGATCATGCTCTTCCTCAGCATTGGCATGACTTATGGTCAATGGTTTCAGGGTCAGTAACTTTCAATTCAGCTTTAAAGTATTTATGTCTTTACGTGTTTTTCCCAAACAAAACATTCAGCAGTGATTTTTCAGTGGTAATACAAATTCTTACTTTGTGGTTCTACTATAGCAACGATGCATCTTGAATGAAAGTAAAGACCTGCCTGGGAAAGACAATATGCTTACAGGTTACCCGGGGTAATTTTGAACAATAGTTAATAGAATAGCCTATTTTGTTATGAGAGAACATAATACACATAACACTATGCGTGGCATTCATAGCAAACTAGCACTGATGTAGGTAAGCCTGCACAGAACCTGCCCGTGGAGAAGAAATGTGTTCAGTTTTTGTTCACTGAGACAAGAGAACATGCAGTGACAGTATCTGGGGAGCATGAGAGTGCACAAGCGAATCTCACGAGCTCCAGAGGTTCCTTATCCTCACATCCCTCTTGCTTCCTTTCCCTGTGTCAGCAGAAACTGTCCTTAGATGCTCGAATACCTGACATGCCTGAGGACACACTCCTGCTCTGTCCACACCTCCTCCCTTCCTACCCACAGTCCCTGCAGCGGTACAGCTGTGCAGCGTCAGCGGCAGGAACCAGCTGTTGGCCAGGCCACTAGATGATTAGTATTTCTAATTTAAGGCCTTTTGCCTTCTTTGTTAATTATATTTTACTTCATAGGTAGAACTATAACAAGAGAACCAATGAATTTACCTGCTCTATCACAGACAACAGAGTATGATCTGTGCAAAATTAAGCTTTAAGCCATCAGAAAGAACAGATTTAATTCCTAGTTAAACAGTGTATAAAATAAAATCTAGCTGCCTTTGGACCTACAAATCCCATTGAATGTCTTACTCTTCTCTACCTTGCAAACCCTGTTCATTCAAATTGGGGCACTTTATCCTGTAGTAAAGTTGTGCTCCAAAGTCTATGCAGGACCAGGGTTTGTTTTACTTCAGTCAGCATTACCAGGATATTCTCATTTATAAGAAAAAAAAAGCGTGCTTAAATACACGTTCAAACATTTTTATTCATTAAAAAAATTATTCAAAAGGACACTTCCTTTTTCTGCTGTAAAGGCATAGGAAAGAGTCAAGAAAACTTTTGCTAAAGTTTTTACTTTTGGTAACAACAGAAGTGTGGCTTCTGCATTTCCCTGTCCCTGTACCAACCATACACGTACCAGGGAACTGTGGTGACTATAACACAGACTTCATTCTCACAGTGAAACTTCTGTTACAATGCACTGGTAAAATTGAGCATGCTGTCTGTGCTTTACTTCAGGTGAATCTAAAATATTTGTTTCCCTAAAGTGATCAGGCTTTTGATTTATTTCGAAAATTTATTATTATTATTATTATTATTATTATTATTATTATTATTATTATACCTTCAGCTCCTGCAGAGTAAATTTCAGTTGCTTGGGAACTCTCTGAGGGATGATATTGCTATCTATAGTAGTTCGATATCAAGTCCTCAACACTGCTGGAGCTTTAGACTATACCATAACAGCTACAATCACTGATACCTAACTCACAACTAAAATGTAACTCTTATTTTCTGGGCTAAATACCTAGACAGGTGATTAGTAATTAGTGTGACTAATGCCACTGATACTCACATATAAATGTATTTTTAGTCCTAACTAGAAGTGTTTATTTAGGTGTAGTTTGCTTCTGCTGGCATGCAGAATAAGAAAAAAAAAATATCAGTTTCAGAGCAAGATCAGTTCTACACGTCTTTCATTTATAGAAAAGTAGAAAACCACAAACATTTAACTGGAAAGTACTTCACCTGTGGAAAGGAACAATCACTGTAAATGTCTAAAAGTACAACTTTTCTATGGGACAAAGCTTGGTGGGTCACGGCTCCGCACCGGCAGCCTTTTGGCTCCTGCCCTCCGCCCGGGAACTGCACAGCGCACGAAGAGGGAAACCGGGGCAGGGAGCGGTGCCGCGGTGGGGCTTCCCGCGCCACAGCACCCATCTCCTGGCACCGACAGGTCCCAGCGCGTTCTGTCTACAGAGGAGAGGAACACAGCGCGACGTGCTCCTCCCTCGCCTGGCAAGGCTGCCTTGTGCCGGCCTTGAGCTCCAGGGACTCGCGGAGAGGGGAAGCCAAGGGGTGCCAAATGCAACGGGAACAGCCGCGGCCGGCGCGCCCATGCCAGCCTCTCGCGGCGCCTTCTCCCGCGGTGGTGCGCTTCTTTCCCCCCGCTCCACAGCCACCCCTGGAAAGGACCTACGCGGTGTTAGCGGTGCTATGTCGACAACGCTGTCCCCCGCCCCTGATCCCAAGCGGGTGGCAGGAGCCGTCGGTGCAAACTGCAGCCGTCCCAAAACATCCAGGGCTCTCCGGACAAGCGGCTCCCACAGCCTCGCCGCCCCTGGCCCCGCCGCCCTCCCAACGTGCCCCTGGCCGCCTCATGAGCCCCCGCACCTCCGTCCGGGGACGATTGGGCTGCTCCCCGCCCCAGCCCCAGCCCCGGCGTCCGCCCCGGCGGCAGGGCAGCTTCGAGTCCTTTCTCCGCGCCCGCTCACCGGCTGCCTCTCCAGCTTCACTTCTTTCCGAAGCTGCTCCACTTCCATTTTCAGTTTGTCCTTCTCGCTCAGGTCCTCGATGTTGATGGCTGGCATCGTCTACACTGTCAAAGCGCGAAGGGAGGGAGGGAGGGACAACAAAAGGTTACGTCTGGGCAGCGAGGGCGCCGGGGCCGGAGCCCCCGGGCGGTGGCGGAGCGGTGGGACGGCCGCCCCCGGCCCGCCCCCGGGCTCACTCACACGCTGCCGTCCGAGTTGCCCCGCTGGTCGGCGGCGACCGCTTCCTCTCCGGCGCGCGCGTTCTCCGTGCCGCTCCGGCCTTTAAACCTCCACGCTAATCCCCCCTAACCGGATTAGAGCTCGCCGTCCGGGCCGACCCCGCTGCCGGGGCGTTGACACGGGCCCTGCCTGCACAGGGAGGTCCGGCCGTCCCGGAGCGGCCCCCGGGCAGTGCGTTCGGTCCCGTCGCCGCACCGGCGGCAGGAGCTGGAGGACCCTGCTGTGCTGACCTCTCCGGCCTCTCCCTCTTCACCACTGCTGCGGAGCAAATTCAGCGAGGTCGGCTGGGGGTTTTGGCCCAGCTGTGAAATCTTTCTCCCCGACACCTCCTCTTCCACCTTCTGACCATTGCAATGTCTCATGCTTCTCCATGCCACCAGCAACCTTTGGCTCTGTGTTACTCTGCCCAGCAGCTAGGGTAGAAGCAGGTGGTTTGCATGTGCACATTCCTTGATACTTGTGCATTACCGCCACGAAGGGACTGGATTGAAAAGGTAGAGAGGGGAAGGAACCACTCTCGTGTTAACTGCCCCAGCAGGCAGCCAGCCCATCAATGCCAGACACAGCAACTTTTGTTGGTAGGTGTGTCTGCAAAGTAGAATTGCAGCTCTGCATGAGACAGTTATTGTGCCTGGCTTGCATCAAGGGTCTCTGGAATCATGGAGTTATGAGAGGTGTCAAGGGTGGAGTGCTCCACATAAAAGAAGTGAGGGTTTCAGAAGACACAAGAAGGAGCTAGGAAACTCTTCACCTGTGGTTGCATACAGCTAGATACCAAATAGGGCGCTATGCTCTTTAGAATAGGGTGGTCCCTCCCTGCCTATTTGTTCAGCCCCTAGCATCTCTCATCCTAGCAGCTGCTTTCCTACAATACCACTGGAAGCAGAACTCAGGATCCTTCAGACAGAACGTAGCTGCAGGCCATTAAAATGGGCTTGTAGGCCTTCTGTTATCTAGCAATTCAAAGGTCCATACAGGCAATCACCCTTCCCTCTTTCCACCTCTTTTTTTCCTATTAAATACACTCATTTCTCCTCCTCTCCCCACTCACCAGATGTAAGCAGCTGTCTGCAGTATGTAAGATTTACATCTTTCTTGTCCAGTGCTCTTCCTATAATGCTCTTGGGGTCTGTATTCCTTTTATTTTAGCCAGTTCACTAAAAACAGTTTTTCTCCCTCTGTCTATTATCTCCCCATTCTCAGCTGTTGATATGCAATTTCTACACCCACATAATCTACACTGACAGCTGCATCTCCAAAGTCCACCAGCTGCTGGTCCTGGGCCAGTCAAAACAGGAGGAAGGAACTGGCCAGCCAGAGTCTTAGAGGTGCCAGGGCTGTTGCAGGAGCAGAAGCACTGTCGTGTGGAGAGGCAGAGAGCATGTGGTGTAGTGGTGGTGGGCAAAGGTGCAGGAGTGAGCTGAAGGTGGGTTCTGGCACACCATTGATGTGGTTAGGGTGGGAAGAACTTGGTGTCCATAGCTCTGTAATGGAAAGCCTCCAGAGAGCTGTTTGCTGACATGACTAGCTCTGTTGATGGCAGTCAGTAATGGACTTTCCACCACTTACTGTGTTAACTTTTACTGTATTTCATGTATTTTTACAGATATTTACCTAATCTGAGTTATAGCAAAGGAGAAGCTAAAAAGCAGCATTGATGGATAGGTAGCTTTAGCTCACACTTTGATTCGTATGTGTGTGTGCACAGAGGAAATGAAAAATATGGAAAATGGTATTTGCATTATAGCATTCACTTTGCTGCTATGACTGAGAACACAGCTGCGTTGGGCAGGACACGTCTCCAGGATGAAGGACCACCGCCTCCCTAAGATCCTGCTTTATGGTGAACTTGCCACCGGCTGCCACAAGAGAGGAGCCCTGAAGAAAAAATACAAGGACTCCCTGAAACAACATCTCAGCCTTGGCCATATTGACCACCATAACTGGTCTACTCTGGCCTCCAATCGGGAGGCCTGGAGACACACCATCTATAACGCTGCTGATGCTTTTGAGAAAGCACGCAGGATCACCCTTGAGGAGAAAAGACAACACAGAAAGAATCGAGCCTTGCAGAATATACCATCTAAGGAGTCTTTCTGCTGTGTCTTTTGCAACCAGACATGCCTTTCTCGTTTTGGCCTTTTTAGCCACCAACGCGCTTGCAACAAACGTGGGTAGAGCCCTTCCCAAATCTTCGTTCGCAAAGCCTAGCCATGATGATGATTATTATTTTAAGTGGTATTTCAATTACTTTGTTTGCAACTCAAAAAATTATGATGAAAACCAAAGCACATCAGTCTAGGACATCATATTAAAGACCATCATATTAAAATCACTTGAGAGTTTCCAGTACTATAAGGATGACTTTTTGCTTTCTTCTGGAAATAGAAAATGTACATTTTTTTGTTTGTTTGTTCTTTCCTGCCAGAGGGACATAAACTTTAATATAATTGCTCTGCCTAATAAGATGAGCAAAATCCCTAAAAATGAGAACACCTGTTAGTAACAGTTGTAGCTATAACATTCTAAAGGATGGCAGATGTGTCCCATGGTGATGACTCAAACTGTACCAGGGTTTATTTTCTTGTCACTAAAGCACCCACTTATCCTTTGGCAACTGGAGATTCTAAAAAAAAGGAACAGTGCTAAAAAAGGAGATGGAAAGGTGCCATTCATATCCTTTCAGAAGACATGTAGGTGGGGTAGGGATTAAATTTACTCCTTTCTTGCCTTTAAGAAAATTAAAATTATATCAGAAAACCAGGTTGTAATCCTCCATGATATAAGAAAAGCAGAGAAGTTATGGAGAGAAAGTCGACTCCTGAAATAATCAGGGTGCTATTAAATTCGCCCTCCTTACAGCCCCTATGGACTCTGCTTCTTTCCTGCAGGCCACAGATTTCCAGGGCCCTGTATCTCAACCCCATCGGCAGCCGTTGCTGTAAAGGGAGTAGAGAAGAGCAAGAAGAGATCAGATTATCTTGTTGTTATCTATGGAGAGCACGCCTAATTTGCAGCCACTCTTATCTCTCTTACTGAATTCTATCTGGAGTGAACATTAATTAATGTAATGTCTCTAATAAATCAGAGAGGGAAAAGTATGCTGTTTGCTGCTCATCCCTTTCTTCCCTGATCACACCCCATTGCCTAGTGGGATTAAAATCTGCAGAATAAACCAAGTCATGATATTTCCTGAAATCCATCTCTCTTTGCACTGGCCAGAGGTGTCATCGATTCATCTCCGTGGGTTTTCCCAGAAACCAAGCCCTTTGACGATGCCTCGGTTTTCTCAAATTCATCAGCGTTTTACACAACAGTATTAAACTAATTACGCGCGTTTGCTTCAGTGGCACTCGCTAGGCAGCCTGTACTTGATCCGGCTGTATCAGGAACTGCAGCAGGCTCAGCCCTTGATTTTCGGCGTCCCACCGCCCTCTACCCGGAGCCTCCGAATAGGGAGCGGCCTCAGGGGGGCGACGGCAACGGGGCGGGTAGAGAAGGCTTTCGCCAAGTGGCCCGTCACGGATTTCGCCGTGATTAACAGGAAATGCTCTTTGAGCACCATCCCGTAATGTGAGGAGGGCGGGGGAGGGGGACGGGACCGCCGGGGACCCCTGCCAGCTCCCCGTAGCCACGCAGCGGGAGCTCCTCCGCCATGGGCGGTGCAGCCCGGCGTGGAGCCAGCCCCGGCGGTGCCCCCCCGCCTGATCCCGCTGCTCCCCGCGACGGCGGCGGGGCAGGGGGGGCTGCCCGCGCCCCCCAGGCACACGCAGGCGCGCAGCTGCCGCGCCCAGGTGGCGGCCGGGTCAGCGGGGACCTCCTGCCCCGCTGAATCAGACCTTCCCCTCCCACCACATGCGCAAGGAGGGAGGTGGCCCGGGGCAGCCGCCTCGCTGCATATAAAGCGCTGCCGTCGGGCCGTCCAGAGCCGCTCGCTCCCGGGACCCCGCTGCCGCCCGCCCACCGCGACATGGACACGGGCCGCCGCCTGCCGCTGCCCGCGCTGCTGCTGCCGCTGGCCTGCGCCGCCCTGGCACAGCGCTCCCTCACAGGTAGGACCGGGCGCTCGGCGGGACCCCGCGGGGGACACGTGGGGGGCTGCGCGGGGCTGGGGCCGCCTGTGCCGGCAGTGGCCTGAGCCGCTGGTATCTCCCGCAGAGAAGCAGCGCGCCTGCCTGCTGCCCCCCGACGACGGCCCCTGCCGCGCCCTGGTGCCGCGCTGGTACTACGACAGGCACACGCAGAGCTGCCAGGAGTTCACCTACGGGGGCTGCTACGGCAACGCCAACAACTTCCTCACCTTCGACGACTGCGAGAAAAACTGCTGGACCATCAAGAGTGAGTCCAGGGACCGGCAGTGCCCCAGAGCGCCCCGGGGTGGCAGGGGGCTGGAGGGGATCTGCGGGGACACCGGGGAGGCTGCGCAGCTTGCGGGATGCTTTGAACCCACCCGGTGTATCATAGAGTCATAGAATTGTTAAGGTTAGAAAAGACCTTTAAGATCATCGAGTCCAAGTGATGTCCCTCCTGCTTGTTGCTGCTTCTTGCTGATGTCGATAGGCGGAGAAACCAGAATGAGTTGTCTCAGAGATGACATTGGGAATTTAATATTGCACCTACTGGCTAATCAATGCATCAGATTCCTCCTGTAAATCTTATCCCACTTTATTAAAGAATGCAGGTGGGATAAGCTGGGACTTGCTTACAACTGGAGTAATAATGTTTTGCCTACACTACCATGTGAATGAAGGGTTGATTTTACAGAGGATGAAATTATTTCTATTGCAGAAGTGCCCAAATTATGCCGGTTGGAGGCTGATGGAGGACCTTGCAGGAGTTATCTAAGAAGATATGCCTTTAACTTGAGCTCAATGAGATGTGAGGAATTCATCTATGGTGGCTGTTACGGAAATGGCAACAACTTCAGAGATTTGCAGTCTTGTGTGGACCACTGTCTGCCAGAAAGAAGTAATGGTTGTTCCAAATTTTTAATAAAATAGATGATTTAAAAGTGATATGAAGATGATACTTTATTTGATACTTTCCTCTGGATACCTGTACAGTGGTAATTTTGAAGACTTCTGTGAAGCAGAAGTTTA